GTTGGTTATGTATTTTTTAAATAAAAAAAAAATTTTGAATTTACTTACTTGTAGCTGGAGTTAGAGGCGGTCAGATATTTATGACCGCTACTGTAATTCCATTTATCATTAACTATTCTGGAATAAATATTGCAAAAGAAATTATGCACGTCTTAAAAGAATTCATCTAAAAAATTATTACACTTACAACTAACAATAATTCTGCAATGATAGTTTGTGGAAAAGAAATTTTCTCAGCTTTTGATAATGAATTTTCTTCAATAAATTTCTTATATTATTGTTATGCAGCATATATATTAAATTTAAGAGTGAAAAAAGAATTAAAAATAGTTAGTAATTCTATTATAATAGTATGTCAAATAATGCGTAATATTAAAAATTCTACACGTCTTTGTGATTTACTTCATGATTTTTGTAGCTTAAAAAAAATTAAATATCTTAAATCAATTTTGAATATGAATACATGTTAGAACTTAACATATTATATGTTAAAAGATTTAAAAAATTTAAACCAGTTTTAATCTTACTTGTAGCTGACAATTCTTCTATTAATAATCTTTATTCTAATAATGATAATTAAAATTCAATTAAGATAAATTAAACTAAAAAAAATAATATTCTTTTATATTTATAGATTTTTATTCTAATAAATTATTTTTAATAGGATATATTATTACTTCTTGAACTTTTAGAAAGGGCTACTAGATATTTATTAGCATTATCTTATCCAACTATAAATGATACTCATCTTATATTTACAGGAATTCAGACATATTTAGAAAAATATACAAATGAAAATAATTTTACAGCATGTGAAGTAGCAGCTTTAATATCTAGTAAAATTAAAAAATATTGGTTAATTTTAGATAATTCTTTAATAATCTCAGCAATTTTAGATACCTGAAGTAAACTTTCTATTTTTTTAGAAGAATCAAAATCAAGTGCTCATGCTTAAATTCAATCTATATTTGAACTTTATAAAAAACAATCTTACTCATCTACAAATTTAGTTTTATCTACCCTTATTAAAAAGAATCACCAATATTTATATAACTTTAACAAAATATAGCACCTATAAATAAAATTTTTACTCTGATATTAGAGATAGAAACAGAATTAAATCATTATCTTGAACTACTAATTGATGAAGAAACTGAACCTCTCTTATGGTGGCAAGCTTATTTTAATAAATTTTCAGTTTTGAATAATATGGCTTGAAATTATCTAATAATATAAGCTACAAATATCATATTAGAGCAAGTATTTTTAATTGCAAGGAAAATGTAATTACAAAAAATCAAAATCATTTACTACCAGAAACATCAAGAGTTTGTTTATATATGAAGAGTTAGATAGATAAAAATTTAGTAAATTAGTAAAGCAGTTGTAATAAAATATAATAATAATAAATAAATAAATATTTTTGGCAATTATATTAAATATAAAAATTTTTATATTAACATAAGCATTTCTAATATACATTATTTTTTGTAGAATATAACAATTTTCATTAATACAATATAATTATTAGTCTAAACTAAATATTCAATTTTATAATTAAAATTACGTCAATCTTATATTAATTAATTATCTGAATAATAATTTGAATAATAATTTTGATCTATTTTATATAATTTTAAATTTTTAATTTTATATTGTTAATTTATTTAATTTATTTAAATTAGTTTAAATTTATCAGAATTGACTCAGTCAGTTCAGTTCTGAGTGCTACTCATAACTGGTTATACAAAGTCACTTGATTAGTTTGACTCACTTTAACTTACAAAACTAGAACGAAACTGATAGAGTTATCCCCATCCCTATTTGTGATATACCAATTGCTAATATTAATAAATTAAAATTTGGCTAATAAAATTAAATGCACTTGTAACTGATATTTATATTAATAGATGCATATTGTAACAGGATTGGATTGACGAACATAATGCAACATATTGCAAATCTAAATGTTAGATATATCAGATATATTTGATATATTTGATATTCTGAACATATTTGATATAATTGATATCTTGGATATATCGGACATATTAGATATATTTGATTTATTTGTTATATCTATCTATGTATTCATTTTAATATAAATAGAGAGCCATAGAATCATATAAACAGTAGTTCGCTTTTAGTTCACTTTTAGTTTTCCTTTAATTTTACTTTTAGATACACAATTAGTAGTTCTTGTAGAGGCGCTTGGCCTAACATTTCACTTAGTATTCTAACTCCTTTGATTTCTTTCATATTCTTTCTTATTTTTCTAATTATACTATTATTATCTCTTATCTTTATTTTATTATTATCAATAAACATATTCTTATATCTTTGAATCAATCGAGTCATCTTACTCCTAGTTTTATCGTGAATACACTACCATGTAGATTATAAATTTTGAGTTAAACTAAATTGAGTCACTACATAAACTTAAAAGAATCACCACTCAAATACCCCGTCTAACAGTTGCAATTCACAAGGATTGCACGTTAACAATATGATAAGTAAATAATAAAATATCTAAGTTTACACATAACTATAAATATATTTGATAAATATTTATTATATTATGAAATGATACTAGAAATATAGATTTTATATTGTATAATATTCAAAAGGTTAATATATTTGAATGATTTATATTTGATATATTCAAATAAAAATATTAGTATTATTATTACTAAACCTATTTATATAATTATTATTAAAATAATTTAAATAAAATTTCTTATTAAAATAATTAAATAAAGTATATAAGTAAATATATTATTAAATAAATAGAATAAGATGTAGTATTAGATTCAGATACTTCATTACAAATTCTATTAATATTAATATAAGATTTAGTTATTTTATCTAATATGTTATGACTCTTATTATTAGATAAAAGAGGTTCACACCCAGTATCTGCTACATGTTTATTAAACTAACTTTTATTTTAAAAAATAAAAAATGAGAAATGTAAGAATAAAAATTAAATCTGAATAATACCAAATATTAGAATATTAAATGAAAATTTATTTTCTAAAAGAAAGTTATCATTATCATTTGATTCTAAAAGTTTATTAATCAAAATATTAGTTTCTTTATTTAAATGCTTATTATTCTATAGATTATATTTAATAATAATTTTTAGAGTTAGTATCGCAGCTTTATATATAATGAAAGCCTTTATAGCTAATTTGTAAGATTTCTCATTTTTAATAATTAGATTATTTTTTTTCAATCTTATTTTTTAACAGAAGTTTTTTGGGTTAAAATCATTTTCAATTTTCAATTTTTTTTTGAAAATTAAGAATATAATATAATTTTTTATTATAATATCAGTTTGAGATGCAAATTTACTATTTGAAAAACTGCTAATTTTATCTTTATCAATAGGAATAATACTTTGATTTTTCTTTTAACTTTACTTTCTAGAAGTTATTAACATTTATTTTATTTATTTGAATAGTTAATAAAAAATAATGAGAAAGAAAAAATAATAGCAATTATTTCTCTTTAAATAAAATAATACTATTATAATAAAGTAAATTAGACTTTATTATTATACTAGTTAATTTAAGTTAAATTATTAATAAAGAACAAATTAGTATTATTATATAAATTAGATTATTATTAGTCTTATTATTATTATTATTTTTATTTAGTATAGTGAATTAAATTAGACTTTTATAAAAACTGTAGTAATCATATTTAATAATATAGATTTTTAGATAAAACATATCTTCATTCAGCAATAGATTGACAACAATAAATATAATAAACTATCATAAATAGTTAACAATATATAATATATACATAAATAAAAAAACTAAAAAAAACTTTGAATTTTAAATTTCAATTATAAATTCTTTATCTATTTAACATTTTATTTTCACTTTTAAAAAATGTTTTAAAATCAATATATTTCTAATAATAATTAATATAATCAATGAAATTATATTAAGTAATAATATAATACATTTAATATATCTTTAGTATTAAATATTGAAACAAATATTTTGAATTACTTTTGATTATTTTTCTGTTAAATTTTTTGTTAAATAATTCTTTTTAATAAATTAAAAATTAATATTTGTCATATTATAATAATTTTTTCAAAAATATTTTTATTTTTTTTAAAAAATACAATTACAACTAGAAATTATTATATTATGAATATTTATAATGAAAATAAAGAAATGATACCAGTTATTGATATAGAAAATGAGATTAGATGATGTAGAACTTTATATAAAAAATGAAGAAGCAAGCAAAAATAAGATAGAATTTTGTATAAATATTATATTTATACTATAAATATAATTTTTTTATATTAATTACTGGTCCGCCGATCAATCAGAGTGATTTATAATAAAATTTTTGGGGCGATCATCATATAATAATCTCTTAATACGCAGTAATCACATGATATAAGTTGCACAAAAAAAGTGTAACCTAAAAAAAAATTTAGCGAAATGATAAAATGAATCTAGAAGTTTTAATATATTTAATTATAAAATGTTTTAATTTCCGCAACAATAATTTTTATATGAAGGAAGCTGAGATTTGGCTCAACAAAAATATAGTAAATTTCAAAATTTTATTAATTTTAAACGTAAAATTATTATATTTTTTGCCGCTTATTATTACTACTAGTACTAATATTATTATTTCCAGATCTTTTATTAGTTTTGAGCTGGCCACTTTGATCCTGAGATTCACCCATTACCCTTTGTTCCGCTAATTCTTTACGTAAGTATGCTAAATATCTTATAATCTAACCTTCAACTGTTTTGATCTCTGGCACTTCGTCTATTGAAATTTCATCATCTTCTGCTAATTGTTTTAATTGCATTACCATATCTTTTGCAGACATCCAATCTACTTTATCCATATTTCCCGCCAAAAAAAATCCTTTCAAGTAAGTCTTTACTACTGCTATTATACGCTTTCCACTGCCTTTTTGACTATATTTATAGTTACTTCTAAGCGTCTACTCATTTTCTAATAGAAATTTATCATTTACGTCTACAATTATATATAAAAATTGTAATATATTACATAATAATAAATAATAAAAATAAAATACCTCTAGAATAGATTTGACTATTATTTGTTATTTCAATTGTGTTTTTATTCGTATTACCTATAAAGTATTCACAAAATTATTATTATTTTTTTTTCTAATATAGGATATTTGTCAACTATAACGGTACCTCTACTTTGAACTATGTAAAAATTCCATGCTGAGTTCGGCTTAATATGAGTGGAAATATCAGGAGTTGGTTTATGTAAAGATTCTTTAACTAATTTTAAAACATCAGCTGGAGAATAACGTGACCATGCACCTACATGTGGTAAAATTTGAGCCTGAATATATTCAGCAAATGGATCTTTGATTGGCCATTCAAAATAGAATAATTTTGTAATACCAGATATAGTTTTTACAGGTACATGATTACGTTTTGGATTCAGACGAGCGATAGAAGTTCCACTCAAATTTTTAATTACCTCCTCAATTTTCTCACCACCATCTAAATTATAGCCAACTCATATATATCGCTTGATAGCATGAGCTACCTAAGAGAAATAATTAGCTAGTCTATTCTCAAGATTTCAAAATAATAATAAAAAAATTTTAGTTTATGAATTAAATTCAGATTTACCTGTGCATGATAAGAGTCAACACTAGTTTTAGCCTCACTGAGTTCAAGAAAATGCCATTCACGAACATCAATATTATACCATTGATTTCAATTTGAAATAATGGTCATTAATTCTGAATTATGATAGTGGCCACCGTTATCAAAAAAAATTTTGATCCACTTTGGTTTTGGATTTAGTGTTTCAAAAACTGCATCAAAAGATAATGCTGTGAACCAGACGTCTTGTTTAGTGTCTGTAGACCAGTGATCAAAAGCTTATATATCAAGTTGTGTGGAATCACATCTCGTAAAAACC